GAACTATATAGTTTACATATATGAATTTATAGGATATATATTTTATAATATGATAAATTGTATAAATCATATTTGAGTACAAAGTTGATAAAATGTATAAAAAGTTATACTAACTTTTATAATAAAATATTGATTAAAGATTTTTTTTTCTTTAGTGTATAAGCAAATAATTATTTGAAAAACATAGAGAACAAAGCATGAAACTTACATTGTAGTTTACGTGTTTTGGATGAATGATCATTTGTAATGTTCATGTCTCTGAATAACATGAATGTGAAGAGAGATTTAAGTACATATGGATCCACAGGAGAAAACGTCAGAATCGTTGGTCTGCGCATATAAACTAAAATTGTAAATTAAAAAACCAATAGAAAAATACATATGAAAGCATTATTCTCCTTCTAAAGACTAACAAACAATCATTAAATAGAAAATAATACCTATGAACATATTTAAAAAAGTAAGAATTATAATTCAAATAGATCTACGATTAATCAAATCATACAGAAAGATAAAAAAATTATCTGCATCGTGGTGAAATCGTTATAATAGGACATCTGCATATAAACCAAAAGAAAAGTCAGCTCTGATGAAATATGTATATATAAAAGCTTAATGATTTAAAATAACAAAAACAGTATCAACATAAAAAGTTCAGAATAAAAAGTTCAGTGGCTTCCTTTCTCCTACTGTGAATGTCTTATATATAGTAAATTGGTGGACGTTTCTCAATGATTTAGCTTGCATGATAAACTAATAAATATATTATTCTCTAATAAATTATTGAGAATATTATATATTCTATACGATTAATCATATGAGAAGCTGTATATAGAAACTATATATTAGAAATTGTATATTCAATATTAATAAGGTAAGTTAATAATAACAAACAACCTAATTAGATACAAATCGATAAATCGCACTAAACAATGTAATCAATATGATATCAAGAGTGAATTGTTTTCCGTATTTGTAATAAGGAAATTTATTAATACATGTTTTATTAATTTATATTCTTGCGCAAGTAATATCTAATAAGGAAAATTATCAATACATGTATTAATAATTAGTAAGGTTAGTAAATTATTAGTGATCGACCAATTAATATTCTTGGATTAATTTCATTATTGTGCAAATAATGTAGTTTTTAAATAAGGTAAGACATTTAATATGAATTATTATATTTGATAGATTTAAAAATTAATTGAAATAGATTAAAAAAAGTTACAACTTGTGCAACGTATGTATTATTAAAATAAGGTAAGTCATTAATAGGAATTAATAAATTTGGAGTGTTTGAAAACGTCGATAGTTTTGTTATCAAATTACTCTTCGCGCTGAATTAAAAAATAGAAAATAAACATATCTTAGCAATATTTACAATTCGTTTGGTACAGAAATCTTTATAATATCTACGATTTAAAGAAACAATATTTTTGAGTAGTTATTATATAGAGATTCTTCATGGCCAAGTAAAACGTTTTAATGCATTTAATGAATTAAACATAGAAAGGATCGCAAAAGGATGTTCTTTGAATCGAGAAAACACAAAAGTTAAGTATTTAAATGGATTTTATTCGGATTCAGTTTAGGAAATCCCTAGAGTATTGATCAAGCAAAAATATTTAAAACTATATTGCTAACGAAACTTTACATATCTTAGCAATATTTACAATTCGTTTGGTACAGAAATCTTTATAATATCTACGATTTAAAGAAACAATATTTTTGAGTAGTTATTATATAGAGATTCTTCATGGCCAAGCTAAACGATTTAATGCATTTAATGAATTAAACAGAGAAAGGATCGCAAAAGGATGTTTTTTGAATCGAGAAAACACAAAAGGTAAGTATTTAAATGGATTTCCTTTTTAGTAGTGTCGATGTTAAAATTAAATCAAAAATAAATTCTAAAAAATCAACCAATAGAATCGCTAGAATTCTTTTGAGAAAGGCTGTGTGAGTGCCACGTGTCAAAGTGACTTCTCTTTTAATGTATAGGGGTATTTACGGATAATAATTTTATGACGAAGCTCTCTTCAAAATCTTTAGATTGACGAACAATTCTACATTCTACATGTATGCAAAGCCAATCTTAGAAAACAGTGAAGCTTCAAAGGGTCACCCTCAAGGAATTAATTGACTAAAACTATATACAATAGTTTCAACATTCTCTTCATTTGTAACACCTTAATTTTCATCTTTTAACTTTCCACATTATTTTCTTTTTTCTTCCACTTTATTTATTCAACACCCATTTCATTTTAAATTTCTACAATAGTTTTATTTTAAAAAATTTCAACACTTTATCCCACAATTTTTAATTCTTATATTTATTTTATTTAAAACATTAGAATTATATATTAAAAGAGTTTTGAGTGTCAAAAAATATTATTGGGATCCATTTGAGAAAAAATATATTTAAAACACGAAAATAGTTAATATAAGGAACAATGAAGTTTTTTCTATACTTAAATGAATTGAGAGTGGTCTTTGTTATAGATAAAAAATATTAAATTTTGATATAAATTTTATTATTTTTAAAAATGTTTTATTATATAAAAAAACACATTCATATTATTGTGAGATGATAAAAATTAAAAGGAATATGTACTATCAATATGTCCACTAACAATGCAACATGTGGCAATGTAGACCCACAAATTTTTTTTTCAACAATTGAAATTTTACAACACTTGTTGAATCCACGTAGATAAACACAATGTTTCAACATCTCCATTGGAAAACTTTCAACAGTTGAAACTCAGTTTCAATACCCCCATTGTACATGGTCTAATACTCTAACTTTGAGATTAGCAGATGCGCAAAAGTAGGTTAGGCAATATTTTGTTTTGTTTATTCTTTT